GTATTTCATAATGTCCTTAGCCTACAAAAGCACGTTGTATACAAAAGCCTAGGGCCATTGTGTAAAGGAAAAGAAGTAGGGTGGACCCTTCTCAACCCTTTCCTTCTCTGCAGGGCTTTGCATTCCTAAGGATGGGCCCCTCCTCTGCTTGGGGATGTTACCTAAATTATAAAATGATATTACTCAAAGCAATGGAACTTCAAAAGCATTTCCTTCCCAGGCCCTACTATAAGATTTCTTTTGGCATAAACTGTTCATTGTAATGTATTAAGTATCAGACTTCTGATGACTTGTCATACTTAAGTCACAAAACTACAAAAAACTTTTAAGTTTTTAAAATGGCTTTGTTTTAAGAGCTGCATGCGGGAGGACAGGCATCAGCAACCCCCTACCCCTTCCCTCCCTTTTCCCCAGTCAGGCCTGCCCTGTCAACTTTAAAATGCAGTTATTTGGGTGATACCTTGTTACTAACTTATCTGACAACTGCTAGTTGAAATCAACTTGTCTCTGTAAATACTTTGCTTTTCTTTTTTTTTTTTTTCTTTTCAGATGGAGTCTCGCTCTGTTGCCCAGGTTGGAGTGCAGTGGCGTGACCTCGGCTCACTGCAACCTACGCCTCTCCAGAGTTCAAGCGATTCTCGTGCCTCAGTCTCCTGAGTAGCTGGGACTACAGGTGCCCGCCACCATGCCCAACTAATTTTTGTATTTTCAGTAGAGACGGGGTTTCATCATGTTGGCCAGGCTGGTCTCGAACTCCTGATCTCAGGCGATCCACCTGTGCTGAGATTACAGGCAGGAGCCACCATGCCCAGCCGAACGCTTTGCTTTTCTAGTGATAATTATATCATGTTTCTCTCTTGTAGCACTTCTGGTGGGAAAAGTGCAAAAATGAATTAACAGTAGAGATGAGTCTCTGATTCCTAAGTCCTTCTCTACCAAGACTTCCAAGTTGGAAACAAGAGGTAGAGAAAGACTTAGGAATCAAAGACTCTTATGAGTATGATATCTACTTTCAAAACAGTCATTTCATTTTATTCACATTCAGTATGGAAACTTTAGTTTTCTCAATTCAAAATTGAGACTATAATCCAAAGGAAAGCTGAATTGAAAATTTTAACAGATTAATACCAGTACCCCAAGTAGTGTTTACCATGCCTTCAGAACAACCCCATGTTCTAGGGGCCATTAAAAAATGAAATGGCTACTGACATGGAATGGAGCTGGGGAAATTTAACTTTTTACTTCATACATTCCTGAGCCATCTGAACTTTTTTACATCAATCATGCCATTTAGAACAAAAAAAATTCCACTTCCTACCAAGCTAAGTACAAACTTGTCACCTTGACCTTCAAGGTATTTGACAAATATGGTCCTGGATTCCTTTTCAATTTTAATCCATTACTTTCTTTTGGGAACTGTTGCCTTATACTCCTAGCAAACTATCCCAAAGAACTCTCTTATCCAATTTAACTGACACCACACCACGAGGCTATTCTCCAATGTGATGGGAACAACACTTCTGGTTCCCCCTCTGTGAAGTGTGCTTATCAATGGTGACAACGTGTTTATTCAGAAACCAATTTATGCCAGTTGTGCTTATTATTGAAAATATGTAAATACTATGTAAAGCAATGAAGTATAAATGAGAAGGGAAAAATGACAGCGGCAATTAACACTGAGTACCTACTACTTGCCAGACACTGTTCTAAATGCTTTACATGAATTAACTCCTATAATCTTCACAAGAAACCTAGAAATGGATACTACCATTATGCCTATTTTACAAAGGCAGAAACTGAGTAACTTGCCTATGGCCTATATAACTAGTAAGTGGCAAAGCAATTTGGCTCCAGAGCTCAAGTACTTAACTACTACAAGACATAGCCTCTCTAGTAGTTATTTCTATAAAATCCACATTGAATGCTTTGGAAAGACTAGATAAAAGTGAGCATACAAGGCCAGGTGTGGTGGCTCACGCCAGTAATCCCAGCACTTTGGGAGGCCAAGGTGGGTGGATCACCTGAGATCGGGAGTTCCAGACCAGCCTGACCAACATGGAGAAACCCCATCTCTACTAAAAATACAAAATTAGCTGGGCATGGTGGCACATGCCTGTAATCCCAGCTACTCAGGAGGCTGAGGCAGAAGAATCGCTTGAACCCGGGAGGTGGAGGTTGTGGTGAGCCGAGATCGTGCCATTGCACTCCAGCCTGGGCAACAAGAGCAAAACTCCGTCTCAAAAAAAAAAAAAAAAAAAAAAAAGTGAGCATACAGATAACACATAAACTTGCTGTTAGGTGTGGGAGACAACAGAAAAGGCTGGAAGGGCATTTCATAAACACCTAGAAAGATTCTGCAGTGAGACTGCTTTGCAAGTGACTTTAAGTATTCATTCTATGTTAAAAATACCATAGATAAGGTAGGCCAGGGGCTAGCAAGCTCTTTCTGTAAAGGGTCAAAAGTAAACATTTTAGGTGTTGAAGGCCATGTGGTTTCTGTCTCAACCACTAATACTCAATTCTGCCTTGTAGGCTGAGAGTAGTCATAGACAATACATAAACAAATGAGCAAGGCTGTGTTCTAATAAAGCTTTACTTATAAAAACAGGCAACAGGGTCCTACATTCCAAGAAAAGGCTGAGGCCTTATGTTAAAAGAATGGCAAAAGAATGTTTATGTCCTCGTTAAAATGTTATGTATGTAACTATTATCTGTGTGATTCCCTGCTTTAACGTACTTCTTCAGTTAGCCAACTAATGGCCCTAAAAGTCTGCTTTCAGTAACTGAGTGAATGTTATAGATGCCCTAGAAGCTGCATTTAATTCATATTCCTGTCATTATACCTGATATAACTTGGTTATAACTTTAAACTACTAATTTTAAAATGCATGCATCAGTACAGATTAGTATGGGCATACTCGTATATAAAGACTGTCATCTCTGTTGCAAAATTGCTGATAATTTGAAAAGTATTAAAATTGCTGCTTCCCTGAGGGAGGAAGGAGGGTGGAGGGTGGAGGAAAAAAATTGCTGCTTCCTGGCCAATCTTCAGAGGGTTGACAATACATTTCATGAATATTCTAAAAGTTGTATACTTAAGCAAAACAAATAAACAAAAATGCTTACTTTAAACTTGAGATCAAGGTTGTGCCTTACTTGCTTTTGTATCCCCAAGAATTACTCAGTAGAAGTCCAGGTCTAATCCACTTGTTTTACGGTGTTTAGGGAGCCTGGACCAAACTCAGAGTTGAGTTAGAAGGGCTGGGACAGGAATTCAGATTTCCTGATTCCTAGTCCAATATTACCAATCTGAAGATACACGAATTTAGGAAGACAGTGGCTTTCTTTTCTTTTTTTTTAGGTGCACCCAGTCCTGCAGTTCAAAGCCTGGGAAGACTCACCATCATCTTCCTCCTCCTCATACTGCTAATAAGAATCAGCAGCTGTGTTTCTACAGTGATAATCTGGGTATGCACGTTCGTGATGTTCCAATCAACAAAAAGGCTATTGATTTTAGGATTCCTGAGTACCTAAAAAGCTACTTAAACATCCAGGATAAAAACACCTCCACCCAAGAATACAAGATCAGAGTTCAAATATTCCCTTGGCCATTTTTTTTTTTTAAAAGAAAAGGCTGGAAGGACATTTCATAAACAACTAGAAAGATTCTGCAGTGAGACTGCTTTGCAAGTGACTTTAAGTATTCACTCTATGTTAAAAATAGCATAGATAATGTAGGCCAGGGGCTAGCAAGCTCTTTCTGTTAAACATTTAGATGTTTCAGGGCTGCAATCACAGTGACCAGTATTGGGGAGAGTGATTAAAAAGTGCCATGGTACTTAATCCAGTTATTCCCCCAACACCTCTAAGAGGTAGCCAAGTTCACACACTAAACAGAGCTACTGCAACAGTTCTAATGCTAGTCCTTAGATTCTAGTTCCATTTCCGGTTCTAGTGCTTAGATTCCAGTTGCATCATTCCAACTGTGAGGCTTCGCTGCTTTAACATCTTTGCCAGGAGGTGCAAAGTTCTCTGGGAGGGAGAACTTCGCTTCAATTTCATACTGACAGATTGAAACATTCAGGTAAGGGACACCTGTAGTACCAACCTGACTGTGAGGGGAAGCCCAAGAACTCCATTGAGTCTGTGGACGCTACACTGGGACACTATCTCCTGAGCCACACCTTACCTAAGCCAGGACTACCCCAGGATTGTTTCGAGAATGAAACCAGGTTAACCAAAAAAATACTTAGGTAAGATACAGATAGGGTGGAAACTGGAGTCAGAGGAGTCCGTCACAATTGATGTTGATTTAGGACTGTCGCAGGAAGACCCAGGGAAACCCACGCCAAGGTTGGGCTGGGGATGTGTCTGCCTCCAAAGTATCCTCCTTTCCATCACCCACCGCCAGAATATCCTAGTTCTTCTGCACCTCACCTGCGTAGAATACAGGTGGACTCTAGAAAGGGAATTTTCCTCGAGGTGTATGCTACAGTCTTTCAATAGCCATTCTGTAAGGGCACACAGTGCTTAAGGGCTGGTAACGTTCTTGTTCACGCACTAGCTCACTATGTCCTGAATCAAAGGACGAGGAATCCAGTCTCAGTCTGCCCTTTACTCTTTGTGACCTCGGACTAGTCACCCGGGTGCTTAGTTCCTTCGTCTCCCTATCTGTAAATTCTGAGATTACGAGGAGGCCGGGATCGAAATCGATGGCCTCTGAGCTCTAAAAGCTTCTGGACCAGCCGGCACATGGAAGCACTGGACAAATGGCCGGTTGCACACACGGGGAAACTGAGGCACCGAGCACCGCGGCCCAAGGTCACTCTGGCTAAGCCACTGCAGGGACCGGGTCGAAGCCCAAGTCTTTAACCCTCCAGTCCCGCGCTCTTTCTCCTTCCGCGGAGCTGAGGAGAGCGGCCAGAAGGGTCCTTGTCCCGCTGGGGAAAGGACGGTACCCATGCACAGGGGTGCTAGAGAGGGACCGGGAGAAGCCTTACCTTCCCAGGTCGAGTCCAGCCACTGGCGCCTCTCTCTCCCAATCTTAACCCGTCACCCCCTCACGACTCCTCGAACGGCCCGTCCACTTCTACCCGGCTCGACGTGTCCACGACCGCCTCCGAGGCCGAGGATTTCCCGCCCCCTCCCGCCCCCTAGCATTACCGACCAATCCCTGCACGAGACTGTGAAGCTCCGACCCCCTGCGGGCTGGAGGGGCCTGACGTTTGGCGGCGCGAGTGCCCACGCGAGCCTCTCATTTGCCTTTGCCCCACCTTCTCCAGAGCCTAGACTACTTTCAGCCCAGAGACCGTGAGGGAGTTCACCCTGCCGGAAAGCAGCACGCCGCCGCGGCATTTTACGACGTCGGCGGTGACAAGCCCTGGGACTCTGGAAATACCCAGCTTCCTCCCCGCAGCCTGGTGAAAGCCAACGCAATGTTCGGTGCGGGGGACGAGGACGACACCGATTTCCTATCGCCCAGCGGCGGGTGAGTGACTGAGAAGTATGCGCTGGAGGGCGTGGCTGAGAGATACCGGCGGATTTTTGGAGGGGGGTCGATCTCTTCTCAGGCCTTTTCCCAACTTCCGGGGGGAGACTCTTGACACATTCCGGTGCTCTACACCTCTCAGAATCTGGGCAGAGCTTCCAACTGTGCTGACTCTGCCAATCTGAGGTTCGGGACCCGGCATCTCTCTTGGCGCGAAGATAACCCTGGGGTTTGCCTTTTGCATTCTGGGTCACAATTTCTCCTGTGAAATGGGAATGATTGCTGATGAAACTTCCTGCCTCAGAATTTTTGTAGGAGTCACCTGGGGCTGATAAGAGACTTTCTCTTCTCCGTGGAGAAGGAGATGACACTTTAGAACCGGGCCCTGGTGGGTCAGCTCTAGCATTCTTCAAGGCCCAGCTCGGATGTCACGTTTTGGATGCTTTTCCTTCTCCTGCAGCCTCAGGCAGAATGAATTGCTTTCTCTTCCTTATTCCTACAGTTAGGTGTGTTTGCCTCTATTCTTGTACCCCAAACCTATTAGATTATGAGTCCTCACAGGACAGGGACTGCTTATGTTGTTCATTTCTGTCTAGCACTCAGCATGGTACCTAGCACATAGTGAGTGCTCAGGAAGTGGCTGTTGAATGAATAATAGCTGCGAAACTGCACTTTGTAAAGTTTAAAGCTTAAAACCAACGTAACAGACTTCCGTCATTCTCCAGTTTCTTCAAGCGTTATATTAATATATACCAGCCTGGGATAGAAATCTTTAAAGAGAGGCAGGGTTTTGTCTCTTTCAGTGGTCAGTTTAGCCTTTTCCATTGTGTTGTGCCAGTGGACAGCTTGACTTCCTCCAAACTTGTGAGCTACCAAGCTCTGATCATTGCAGAGCTTATCTTTGAACATATGCTTAACAAATTTTGTGCATGCTGAAGAATGTACTGGAAAAATGACGAATACACCACATATGCTCCTTAATCTGCTAAATGCTAAGAGGTTACAAAAATGATTAAACTGCTGTGCCTCCCCTTAAGTTGCTTAGAGATCTATTGGGCCATGTGGTTTCTGTTGCAACCACAAATACTCAGTTCTGCCTTGTAGGGTGAGAGTAGTCATAGACAATACATAAACAAATGAGTTAATAGATGAATGACCATAAAATGACACTGGCCTTCTTTTGTCTTTAAATAGGAACTTTTGATTTACACTGACTAGCTCTATATTACCTATCCTTAAGTCTTTTCACTCTCACCACTCTTTTCCCTTCGTACCCCCCTCTTTAGATGGCCTGCATTCACTTAGTTCCACTTTGAGTTCTTTCCGTTTCTCAGTTATTTTAGAGTTAAGCTGTGCTTTGGTTCCTTTTTTCCCTGTTCCACCCAAAACATTAACAAATCTCCATACAGTCCAAACTCCTTGCTGCTGTTGACTCTGTTTGTAGCCAGCCTTTTGAATTAATGTTCCTTCCAACAAACCTGTTTTGTGTATAGCCGTATATTAGACCACTTGAAAATTTCGAAGGTTATACTTTAAATTCACATCCTTCACTATGTGAAAGTATTTGGGAGAAGTCTGTAATGTTAGGGCTCCCAACTTTCTTGCAACAATCAGTCCAAGCTGACTGAAAATGATGGGATAAGTAATGACAGTCATGTGTTCTTTTCCAGATTCCTGGCCAGAGATAAATTCTTGGTGGCTCAACTATTCTTTTTTCCTGAGCAGTCTTCTCAAGGATCTGGGACACTTGAATTCTAGGCATGTGACTGTACTCCTAGACATAGACAACAGCTAATTTGATGATAAAAGACACGCTAAGCAAAGTTGCAGTTTATTTTTGTTCCCCACGGTTATCAGGAAAACCAAATCAAATTTAACACTGAGAATACAGAAAGTTTCACCAACATTCTCTGATTTAGCTATTCCTTTTTTGGTTTTCTCTAAGGAAGTAGAACATATGACAGTGAATACTGCAGCTGCTTTTCACTTCCTCTTTTATAGCTATATATTACCATAAGTATACTTGCTTAAGTTCCAAGTCTCTTGATTTAAACACCTGACTTGCTTGGTTCCATTAAGGATATTCAAGCCTAATAGAAGTGGAAGTATCTGATAATCTGCCTTCTGAATTTCTAGGCCTCTTAGAGTTTACTATTAATGTAGAAGTAGTAATCAAGAGGCTTGCTTTTGTTTGTTAGTTTGTTTTAGCCCATTCCTCACTGTTGTGGGAAGTAATAGTAATGAAGTAATAGTACTTGGCTTCAGCTAATCCAGATAGGAGTAAAGCACAGTTTCTGTTCCTAAGAAACTTTTATTTTAGTAGTAGAATAAAATCAACCCAGGAATAATAATTACAAAGCGTTTTTTAAGGGGCCAGTTATGTATATATTTGTTTTAGATTATAAAGGTATGTGTAGGCAGATCTGATTAGCATAGTAATGGTAAATCACCAATCTAAAGGGGTAAAAAGATAAATTAGCTGATCATCAGAAAGCATTTTATTTTTTTATTTTTTTATTTTTATTTTTATTTTTTTTTGAGACGGAGTCTCGCTCTGTCGCCCAGGCTGGAGTGCAGTGGCACGATCTGGGCTCACTGCAAGCTCCGCCTCCCAGGTTCACACCATTCTCCTGCCTCAGCCTCCCGAGTAGCTGGGACTACAGGCGCCCGCCACCTCACCCGGCTAGTTTTTTGTATTCTTTTGAGTAGAGATGGGGTTTCACCGTGTTAGCCAGGATGGTCTCGATCTCCAGACCTCGTGATCCGCCCGTCTCGGCCTCCCAAAGTGCTGGAATTACAGGCTTGAGCCACTGCGCCCGGCCCAGAAAGCATTTTAAGTTCTGTAAAAGATAGGAAAAAGCCTAGATTCTAATGTTGATTCTATCCCCAGTTAGGAATGTGACTTTGGACAGATTATCTTCCATCCTTGTCTCTCCATACCCCAACCTATTCAATAATGAGGTTTGACCTAGATAAACTTGGAGACTTTTCCCAGTTCTATAGTTTTAATGTTAATGCTAATATCAGTTTATGGTTGCAGGTCAACTTGTATGTCAATCAAGCATGCTTCCACCCTTGCAGGGGTATCTGAGTTGAACCACATTTTGAGATAATAGGATGTGTTCACAAGTATATAAATACATACTCTGTGCTTACTCAATGCTACACACTGTTCTAAGGAATACATAGACATTATTGTATTTATTCCTTCCTTCTACTCTATGAAGTAATTTTACCTACTATGCCCAGTTTACAAGTGAGAAATGTATATATACATTAGTGTATTTACTCTTCTCTATGAGGTACTATTAACTATTATATCCATTTTACAAATGAGAAAGGCTCAGAGAGGTAAGTTGCCCAACATCATGCAGCTAGAAAGTAATAGAGCCTGGATCTGAAATCAGGTAGGCAGATTCCACGAGACCTGCCTATGTGCTATTGTTGTTGTTATTGAAATAGATGTTTGATGTCAGTTTATTTAAAAAGTATTAATACTTTACCAACAAAAATAATCCATTTATTAAAATATATTGATACAATATAAATGCATGTGTTTTTGTTTTTGATGAGAAAGAAAAGTAATATAAAACTGAGGTGAGGTGAGGTCCTTGGTGACTAAATGCATTGTCTAACATTTTTTTTTAAATGTAGTTAATGTTGTAATGACTTTTCCTATGAATTATAAACATTGACTGAAGTCCAGAGTTTGCAAACTCATTCTTGCCAACATAAGGGAGAGTGTGTACATTTGAGAGTTCTTTAGTAGTGGCAAATTCTAAAAATTTATTCATTTTTGTTGATTTATTTATTTTTTGAGACAGGATTTTGCTCTGTTGCCCAGGCTGGAGTGCAGTGGTACAGTCATGGCTCACTGCAGCTTCGAACTCCTGGGCTCAAGCAAACCGCTTGCTTCAGTCTCCCAAGTAGCTGGGACTACAGGCGCATGCCACCACGCCTGGCTAATTTTTAATTTTTTGTAAATATGGGGTCTTGCTGTGTTGCTCAGGCTGGTCTTGAACTCCTAGCCTCAAGCAGTCCTCCTGTCTCAGCCTCTGAGAGTAAGCCACCATGCCCTGCTAAAAATTTACAAGTAACTTATCTCCCAAGTTGATGTAGAGTCCATTAAAAATATTAATAGAAAATGGGGCTGAGCGTGGTGGTTCAAACTTGTAATCCCAGCACTTTGGGAGAACAAGGTGGGAGGATCATGAGGTCAGGAGATTGAGAGCAGCCTGGCCAACACAGTGAAACCCCGTCTCTACAAAAATACAAAAATTAACTGGGTGTGGTGACGGGTCTGGCCAACACAGTGAAACCCCGTCTCTAGAAAAATACAAAAATTAACTGGGTGTGGTGACGGGTGCCTGTAATCCCAGCTACTCAGGAGGCTGAGGCAGGAGAATCGGTTGAATCTGGGAGGCGGAGGTTGCAGTGAGCCGAGGTCGTGCTAGTGCACTCAGCCTGGGCGACAAAGCTACTCTCCGTCTCATTAAAAAAAAAAAAAGGCTGGGCGTGGTGGCTTGCGCCTGTAATCCCAGCACTTTGGGAGGCTGAGGCGGGCGGATCACCTGAGGTTAGGAGTTCAAGACCAGCCTGGCCAACATGGTGAAACCCCGTATCTACTAAAAATACAAAAATTAGCCAGG